AACTTATTAGTCAATTGAAAGTTTGGGAAATTCTTCAAAAGTGGTGTATACCGGTGTGTTTTAAAAATTGCTTAAGTTTCGTAATAACTGAGTACACTTTAATTTTTTAGTGTTAAATCAGTGCATTTTTGTACGTAAAACCGTACATTTTTAGTACTAATTCGTAATTTTTATATCGATCAATGCGTATAAAAAAACTTTAGTATATTTTTAGTACTATATAGAAAATAGCAGCAATTCTTCGAAATTCACTGAAATACTTTGAGGGACTTTGCAGCAGTTTGGCGAACTTTTAGTGGAAAATTTTTTTACTTTTAGTACTAGTTTAATACTACTACTTTTAATACTAAATCAGTACTTTTTTCGTACGCTAGCAGTTTTTTGAGTATTCGTCGAGAAATGCGATAAGCTGTATCGTAGCTTCGATGCCAGTTTAGTTGTAAATTTAATCCGAGTTTAGTAATTGTTCAAACATTTCTCAGATAACAAATTTACTTGCAGCAACAAATATTGCATGCATGTATGCAAACATGCGTATGCATATCTTTCTGTGTTTATTCTCCGCTTAGTTTTCTTTTGCTCTCAAATGCAGCATATTTTGCTCTATTCTTTTCCACGCTAGTAAAGTGGATAATTTACTTGTTTGTTGTTGTTATAAACTTGTAAAACTAGACGACGAGACATCTTTGTGCGTCAACAGCCAACAACAGCAGCAGCAAAAAACAGCATCAACAGCAACAATGGCAACAACAACTGCGCTGTAGTATTATGTTGCACATACAATATTGCTTTAAAAAAGATAACAATGCTCTAGGCGACAACAGCAACAATGTAGTCATGCATTTTGCCCATCTTGCAAAGAACAAGAGCAAAAGCTAAGCAGCAACAACAACAACAACGACAAGATAATCATTGCAACAACAACCAGTTTGGTAAGCGTGCAGGCATAACAAGTTTCTGCAATAGAATGTAGGTACACCTGCGCGCAACTAATTAGCACCGAAATTCAAAATATAACGCAATCTATAACAGAAACCACATAAGTAAGAGTTTCAGAGCTTGCACAAATTTCCAAAAAAAAAAACTAATCGAACTTAAAAAATTGTCATCAAAATTTCCAATTTTTTAATCAGAGTTTTAAGAAAATTTTCGAGTATGCAGTTATGTAGCCCATTTAATTTTAGTCTAATAATTTTTATTTTGTGTAAAAAAAACGCAACACCCTCCACAAAAAAAAAAAATCTTAAAAGTCAACGGTAAGTTTTAAATAGCGACTTGAAACTTGCAATGTTTTAGACTAAAATTGAATGGGCTACAAAACTGCATAACCGAAAGTTTTCTAAATATTCTGATTAAAAATTTGACATTGCATTGATGACAATTTGTTGAAGTCTTAAGCTTTGAAACTTTTATTTATGTGGTTTCTGTTATAGATTGAATTATATTTAAAATGAGAATTATTAAAAGTAAATAAATAAACGTAAGTGGAAAACAATATTGTTGTCAATTTCTGTGCTAATTAGTTGAACGCAACTGTATGTACATACATACATACATAC